ATACATCAAAATGAAAATTCCTTTTTCAAATTGAGCTAATCGCTTGATTTGATTGCAAATTTTTAATACTATTCTCATATATGTGGTAAAGTCATCTATTAATTCTTTTTAATTTACTAATTTTTTTAATTTCAAAAATTTTGGGACTAAATTGTCATCTTTTTAATCTTTAAGGACTAGTTTATAAATTTTTTTATCTCACTTTGACAAAGAATTAACTTACTCTGTTGGTTTATTAAGGGTTAAAATCTTTAAACTTCAAGTTTAGAGGCTAAAAACTTCACTGTGTAAATTGAGAGGTTAAAAAGCTTTAAACTTAATAAAGTAAGGGGTTAAATGCATACTTCAACAATTTTTTTTTTTAAAGAGTGAGACTAATATGCACTATTATCTATAAATATTGCTTAAGACTTAAAATTTGAAGAAAAATGTCGAATGATATTCAAGAAGTTTAAACTCTCATCCTCTAGCTTATAACCGTGCTCTTCTTCCACCTGATCTAAGCCATAGTTATAAACAATATTGCTAAAACATATTTATTATAATTTGGATACAAATAAATTAAATTTTTATGTTAAAGTTTCGAATCTATATCCTTGTTTCCTAGAAGAGTTTCCTATAAGAGTTGTTGTTAATAGAGCCATCCAAAATTTGGCATCGATAATATAGTTACAATATCACATAATATTGTAAACTTACAATCATAATGTGTTATTAAGAGAGTTTGACATATTATTGAATGAGTAGATATATACAAAATTACTTGTGGATCCCTAAGAGAAAAGAACCTATTATATAATAATATCATATTGTAAACTTCTAATGTTACATGGCATTGAAACTATATCATTTTCGATCCTAAATCTTATGACACATGTTGTATAATTATATATTTACTAGTGGTCCTTACCCCGCTACACGAGGGATTTTTTCCTAAATTTTACTCACTGCTTTTGTCCATCTTTTGACATTCTCCAGAGCTTTGAGCAAAGAAGCATTCTTCTTTAGGAGAAAAGTTATATAAACATCACTTAAGTAATAGTTTGCAAAAAAGAAACGAATTTATTAATAGTCGAAGACCCTATTCATTCTTCCTTATGGCATGGGTTTTTCTTTTTGTTATCATTGGATTATGCCCATGAACATTTAATTATAATTATTATTTTTTTAATTTTATTTCTTTCATTTGCTTTTTGATGAGTGTTTAGAGTATCAACTATGCTACATGCTGGAATTTGTTTTTAATTTAAAATAATTTTTTATTATGTGTTCGTATTTACCCTATTTTGTTATATTTATCAATGTCAGAACCCAATTTTGAGTGGCCAAATTTAATCAAAAGTTTTGTGATGCTGGCGTTAACTAAAGATCTCAAAATTTTCAATGGACTTCATGAAGAAAAAGAAGAGCTTCCAGGAAGGCCCCACGTGGGAAGATCAAGCTCCAAGGACATAATGGCGTAAACCGTAATGCCAAGGTAGGGGCGGAACTAATTATAAGGGGTTAGGCATGAATCCTATCTCAAGTTTTAAAAAAATTAAAAATAAAAGACCATAAAATCAAAGTTGTAGGGGAAAAAAAGGCAAAGGCCCTACCTTAAATCCATCCGTAAAGACAAGAAAAACATCTAAAATTAGGGTGTAAGAAAAAATTAAGGTCCTACCCTCCTTGTTTTCCTAGTTTTGGCCTTGTTCAAAGGCTCATCTGGCAGATAGAAAAAAGAGGATCAAAGAGTAAATCTAAATGATTAAAGGTCGAAAAGACAATTGATTACAAACTTTAGAAAAAGGAATGTGTATATGCTTATGTTTAATGGAAAATAAAATTCTTGAACAATCAGAAAATAGCTAAAGAATATCTAAAATCTTTTATTGTGGCAAATAAAATTCAAATCTTTTGGAAAGCTAGTCATTCATATAATCCTTCCATCAACTTCCATACCAGGCAAAAGATATAAAAAAAATGTTATATTATTTTTGAAAATGGAAGGATATTTGTATTTTATGAAAGGATAATGACTAATATATTTTTTAGTTTAATACATTTCACAACACATTTATTAAAAATTATTGTTTTTAAATTTAAATTCAAAGTAAGAAAACTTTCAAATATAAATTTTAATAGTTGATTTAGTGGGTGTTAATAAATATATTAAATCAAAAAGTATGCTAATCATTTCTTTTTCTGTAAAAAAAAGTTGAAAAGAGAATAATTGATTGAATTACAGTGGATGTTTTGAATTTTTTTAATAGTTATAACAAGAAGTTTATGGACATATGTTAAAGGTGCTAACCGAAGTGAACGAAAGGAGTATGAATGACTAAATTTTTGAAAGAGTTGGATTTTATTTACCGCAAATAAAGATTTTAGACCTATTTCCTAATTGTGGAAGGAATTTTATTTGCCATTAAACCTTCCCTTACTAGATAGATTCAGGGTTTCATTTCTTTTTGTAAATACATGAAGGTTAAAAGACTAACTTAGTCCCTCAACTTTCAAATTGTTCCAAATCTATCCTTGAAGTTCGGAAAGTACCAAAACGTCCTTGAACTTCAATTTTTGATACCAATTCCATCTTTTCATTGATGGTGGTGACAGGTGGCACATTAAGTTCAAGGTGATGTGGAAAAGAGAAAATGCATATGGTAATGAGATGACATTTCTTTTTCCTTTTCACATGGCTTTTTTAATCTTACATAGATACATAAAAGATCTATATGAATTCGGTTTTTGAGAGTTTTAATAGTTCACCCCAAATCATTAAGGGTTTGAGTTTGTTGACTATAAAAAAAATCTTTTAGTAACTACCATTTACTATAAAAAAATCCTATAGTATTATGGTTGCTACTAGATTGTGAAATACTATCAAAATTAATTACTCTTTCCTCATTTATTTTTAATAATTTTAATTTGATTTTTTTAAATATAAAATTTAGATGAAAATTTAATATATTATAAAAATAATAATAAAAAATTTGTTATTAAATAAAAATATTCAATTAAAAATTCAAGTAAGAAAAAAAACTTTAATTATTATTTATATAAATTTTTAAATTTTTATTTAAAATTTATATACAAAGAATTAAAAAATTAAATTAATTTTACTAAAAATAAAAAAAAATAATTAACTAACAAATACAAATCACAATTATTATTATTTTTTAATCACTAGACAGGTCCCATGGAAAAACGAAAAGCAAAGCTCGTTTTTTAAAAGGGCCAAAAGTCAGCTTTACCTGTCTGTTTCCTCTGCAAATTCAGAAAGATCCCATGGCTTAAATCTCAAGAATCTGGACCTAATAAATGCCACTTATATTTGTTCTCTTTCTCCAGTTTTATGGAAATAAAATACTAGTATCTCTCAGACATCAGACGTCACCTTCTCTCGAGAACTGAAGATCGTCAATCTCTCTTTCACAGATCACGTGTGGGGTGGCTTCTTAATCACTGCAAAACCTCGGCTTAGCTTATTAAAGCAGCTTCTTCTCCTTTCCAAGCAAAAGCCCAAACCTTATCTGCACGGAGACATGGCCTTAACGTCACCTACAGTTGCTAAAAGCAATAATTGAAAAGTCCCTGCAGTCGATTCTGTAGAAAAAAATATCCGTTCAATATG